CCGTTGGGGATGGTTCTGTTTTTTGGGGATGTAGGTTTACCTGCCTCGTTTGGCTTCTTTTCAGTTGGTTTGTGTTGCTCTGGTGCGGTGGAGGGGCCCAGTGCAGAGCTTGGGAGAAGCAGCTGCATGGAGAGGCTGCCAGCATCAGTTGGGGAGGCAGAGGGGGCCTTGGGGGCTTCTCCTCTGCTGGCAGGCCTGGTTCCTGAGGAACAGCCTCAGGTGAGGACAAGGCCACACAAGGGGACAGGGGGGGTCCCATGGCGGAGCCGCTTTGTAACGCAGGAGGTGTCTGCGGGCCCTGGCGGCACAGGGCTGTTTGGCTGTGGGGTTACCAGCTGTCTATGAATGATTTCTTAAGACTGGGAGGTCCAGCCATATGTTCATTTTGTATTAAAGTAGACTGGAAAGTACGGGCTGTGTCATCCTGTGTTTTGGTCCCGCATCCTCATCTCCATGCTTTGCCCCCGTACGAGGAAACCTGTGCATTTTGGTCCCTCTTACCTTTCCGTGCTGCCCAGGTACCTTGGGGTGCAACACTGGGGGACTCAGAAGTGCCTCCCCATGTCCTCCAAGGGCCACTCTATTCAGCACCTATCAACCAGGGCCTTCTGATGTGCCCCAAAGGCCTTCCAGAAAGTTAGGATGGGGCCCATGGGGCTCCCAGTCCATTCAGTTCACCTCAAATGCCCCCATCTGCATATCTGCCCCCCCCAGAGCTCTACCAGCACCCTGCCCAGCAGGGACCAGTGGCCACCCACTGCTCTGCCCAGGCCTACCCCCCCCAGGTGCCAGGGAAGTTGGGGGTGAGCCAAGCTGTCGGCACAAGGTGCTGGGAACTGAAGGCACTGGGTTTATTGGTAACAGAGCACTGGGTTTATTTCTAATAGAGCTGATGTCTGAATTAAGGCAGGCTGGCTGATGCCTGCAGGTGCAGCTGGGCCAGGCAGGCCCTCGGGAAAGGGATGGACCCATTTGCCCAGGACCCCCCTGCCCCATACACTCCCCAGAGCAATGCCCTGCCATGTTCCCCACCCCCCTTCCCCATCCCA